TAGCGGAGTACAAATCTTCCATAGCTGAGTACAAAATTATTCAAGTGCTGTGGGTCTTTATGCCTTTATTTAGGTTATCTTTGAGAGATAATGGTGCAATAGGTGGCAATCAACAAAAACACCACTTTTGATGCACAGCAATTCATGTAAAAGCACTTTAAATCAAAGAATGCATTAGTGTTAAGCATGGCACACTGAAACAACACAGTCTCATACTCTGTACTATGAAACACCTGCGGGCCAGCCAAAAAGGGTCAGAGTCAGTCACTCAGCTGACTCCTGTGGATAATGCAATGTATTAATGGATTTTTATGTGCTTTAACTGGTATCATTGTGAAATATGACAATTTATGTTGCAATTAATTCATGTTTTTGTCCTAATAAACCCTTCTCCTTAATTTACGGGCCAACATTACAGGTTCATGTTACTCTGGTGTCCTGGTGTTTTTGCTGCAGTTAGATGGCTGTCTCCAAACAGTTTTTTGGCTATTTATAGCATTGTTTATTACTTAAAAGCATATTTTTGTAAAGCTTGAGTTACCAGCTTCAATTTTACACCCTCAAGTGGCAAATTTAACTTGGTTTAAATCCACAGCTGCCATAATATTTTTGTACTCAGGATACCAGGAAGTGGCAAAAAATCCAACCACAGTGCAGTTGTTGATGAGTACAAATAAGTCCTTCAGTCTGATGGCCTCCGGATCGACCAGGAGATCCTGGCCCTTGCCACCAAAATGGTAGCCAGAAGACATTCGCGATGGGACGAAATGACCCTTCAGCCCTTGACCGGAAACGGTAATGTGCCCATGGTGTTCTACTTGGCGGTGCTTTACGGGCCGATCTTTCTTGTCATCAGTCTAAAAATTGCACACGTGAAAATGCGCTCAGACTTCGTTCTAAATGCAAGATCTGATGTCATGAAGTGTCCAAGGATACTTTTCAGAAGCGTCGTGATTTCGTCGATTCGTTGGATACAACTTAATATTAACTGCTACGCCGACGCTGCGCGGCCTACGGAGACTGCAGCGCCTGGGGTCGAGGCAGGGTTTCTAAGATTTACGAATGCGCATGCTCAAAATTACGCCACATAACTTGTGTTACCTGTCGATTGAAGTGTTTAAAGGTAATCATATCGGAGGTATCATTATTGTCGTCCAGCGGTGAGCCACGGCTAAATATTTTAGCTACTGGGCTAACGCTCCGCGGACTATGGACACTGCAGCGCCTGGTGTCGAAGTTTTTGTTGCGAAGATTTGCGAGCGTGCATGTCAAAAAACGCGTTACATAAATTCTATCACTAATCGATTCTGACTGAGTGGTGAACATTTTCAGCAAGCATAGCTTGGTCATGTTAAGACGCATTGTTGACCACTCGATCTGCAATCAAATTTCCATCTTCAAATTTTTATCAAACATATCGCTCTACCATCTACCTCCGCAATGTTCCCAATGTTTTAGAGGCCAGATAAAAATTTTGCAAAGCATCTGAATTCTAGCCGGTTTAAAAAGAGCCTTCTAACCATTGTAAATGAAGAGTGTCGGTGATGGTTTCTTCCATGCAGTCGTTCAGCACCTGATTTCTGCAGTTTATTGACCTCAAAATACAAACAGAATTGAGCTCACGGTGGCTCTTGGTTTCTGTTATGGTTACAAGGTAAAAATACATTAATACGAATAGAACCGTGTCGATTAATAACAAGTAAGATATATCCGGGGATTTTGGGGGATCACCGTCAGATGGGCTTTTGTCAACCTTGTGTTCCCCCTTGGCAAGGCTCTGGCTGCGCCCCTGCCTACACACAAAGGCAGATCAAGTTGTATATGTCACATTATGGGCAATTAAATGTCCGTTGGGCCAATTCATACCTAAGGCAGACAGCTTCCCGCTGCCTATTTTTCTGCGATGGTGGTGTGAGGAAAGATAATTCGGAAAAAGATACTGTTGCAGGTGTCCAACACGTGTTTCATACACCATGCAGTGGTAACGCTGATCCAAAAGTATGCAGCAAAGCAGCCATGCGATCAGTTCGCAGTCAGTCATGCGGGAGACACAGGGCTAGGGCAATGGCCACCCACGGCGGACAGGAGCAGGGCCCAGATAAGGAACATATGTCAGATGGGCCTTATTATGCGGCTTGATTTTTTAAAAAGGATCTCCAGTTTCATGGCTTTTGTCACATTGTTTCTAACAGTTTCAAGCTCCCGAATTTGCTTCCGCCTAAAATGCTGCGACAAGTCCTATCTCTTGAAAAGTAGCCAACGAAATGAAGGCGCATGAAAAATCTGTCACACCGTGATCCATCGATCCACTTTTAAAATTCTCACCAGCCTTCATCCAGGCCGTATTTTGGGATCTACACTGTGGAAGCATATGCTTCCTCAAGGACCCAAAATGCCAACCCGCTCGTGGAATATCGCCTCCCCAGGGAAGACAATTTTAAAATGGACGAATAATCAAGGGAAGCTTGATAGCCTTATTTGCTAAGTGACAGATGAGTCGAAAAGACAAGATTGTGCACCAGTGAGAAACAGCTCTAGACGCGTATCTAGCAAAGCAGCCATGGCATTTGAATAAAGAGCGGTAACAACCTCCATCCCCACCCCCCCCCCTCGGTCATCGGGGTTGCTTTCCAGAAAAAGTTCCTGAAGTACACGCAGAGCTTGGCCCCCCTCCCCACTGTTTGAAACGTTCCTATGCTGCTTACAACCATCCCCTGACCCAGCATTTTATGCAATTTAACCTATCACTGGACAGCAATCATGCTAAACCCATTTCTGGCGTTTTGTTTTTTACTTTTGCTCATGTAAAAAAAGTGAAGTAAAAAGCCAAGCTAGCATTGTCAATATTCTGGTTGACTCCCAGGTTCCGTCACAGTTCTGGTAGTGCATCACAGTTTATAAGAACATCACCCAAAATAACATCCGAGGTTCAAGAGCAGGAAATGCTAGCTCTGTAACAAGAATTGGTTTAAAACATCTGTTGGACAAGCTTGACAGCAGAAGTATGGTGCCAGACAGAATGGTGCCATGCTCTAGCCCACCATTCAAAACTGATGTACAGCAGTGATACCTTTGTCCACAGGCAGCTGCACTGTTACACCTTTGTCACATATGGCAACACTGCTACCTGGCCTGCCAGCATCTTCCTGCGCTGCCTTAGGTGTACTCGGAGGCGCCACCTACTGCTGGAGCCGTCAGTCACGTGATAGGTACCGGCTTCATTTCACTACATGCTTGTTATTGATGTGTATGGTTCCTTTTGTATGTGGATATGTTTTGACACCATTCTGTGTCATTCTGTGGTGACACCATTCTGACACCATTCGGTGTGATGCCATTCTGTGACTTTTGTTTTTATCCAACTGGCGATGAACTGGTGAATGGACGCAAGCTCATTGTGGATTGGAGCATGCACCAGTGAATGAAAATATGAGCAAAGGTTTTGTGTTCCAAACGTGCTTGTCGCCGTGATGTTTAAGGGTGAAACACGCTGGCTGGCTCACATAGAGGGACTGTAGTACAGCACCAGATCGATGAGTTCAGAACGCTCACACTCATATATTTTATGACAACTTGCAATGATTGTATAACAGTGCTTTTGAATTTCAGAGCAGTAATTTGATCCTTTAAGCATGGACTATGAGTTCAAGCAAAAAACCCAGGTGGAGCGAGCTAAAGTCGAAGAATATTTTGAGTTTGAAGGCTGCAAGGTTGGTCGTGGAACATATGGCCATGTCTACAAGGCCAAGCGAAAAGATGGGTAAGCAAGCAACACGTTTTTGTGCAACAGAGGTTTAATCGTTTTGGTGATTGATGTTGGCTGTAGTCTACTGCCAATTTTCCACTTTTTTACAAAGTAGCTTCCATGAGTCAAGTGTCCTAGTGCCACCTGAAGTTCAGTATAATTAGAAAGTTGTGGTCAACGTTTATATGCAGGTGAGGCATCTTGATTTGTCACACACTGCAGTGAGTTCGTCATTTAACTTTTTGCATGTGCATGGCTTGCATGGTCAGCTGGTCTGTAGACCAGCTGACCAAATAGGATTCAAGCAGTGACCGGTTTTGCGATGAAAGTAACTGACCTGGAATGGATCATGAGCACAGGGGAAACTTGTAGCAGTCACTGTAATGTCGTATAGATGCAGTTATAATGCATTGTTCGGCGCGAATATTGAAAGCTGATGCCAAGGAAATGGGAGCTTGAGGCTCATTTTACTTACATTACGCTCATACCGTACTCTATGTGACTTCTTTCGGAGTCAGCGGGGCTTGCTTGCATGACACGAACCAAGTATTCTGAAAACCAAACCGCGGTCGTGGCTTTGCAAATCAGTACTGTGCCGTAGCAGAGGGCGCGCGGTCGTTGCAGGAAGGACGTGCGCGAGTACGCGCTGAAGCAGATCGAGGGCACTGGCCTTCGATGTCGGCCTGCCGCGAGATCGCGCTGCTGCGCGAACTTAAGCACCCCAACGTCATCAACCTGCAGCGTGTGTTCCTGTCGCAGCCGGACAGGAAGGTGTGGCTGCTGTTCGACTACGCCGAACACGACCTCTGGGTGAGCGAACCTGCGGGCGACGCCGCGCCAGCGGCTGGAGCTGGCCACCGGGCCCGATGGTTTGGTCGGTCCGGTCGTCCTGCCCTCTCGTGAAGGCAGATGTGGGCGAGAGCGGGGCGCCGCAGGTGTCTCGCGCTCGCATGTGACCGTTGCGAGAGGAGAGCGCTGTTCGAGGCACCCATTGTCTCCTTGTTGGCCTCGCTCCGCATTTGCACAGTTTGAAATGCCGAGTCAGATGTAGATCTGGGGGTAGTGCGTCTAGCTTTTCTTTGACATCAGTGATGTTTCTGATATGTCTCACTATGGTGGTTACGATATGTTTTTCCGCTGGGGGTTCTGCTGTCTTACAAATATTCCTCCCACGCCAAATTTTTCAGACTTGATAGTGTACTGGTGCCTATTTGGTGTTGTATTATGACTGTGGTAATGCTGTGTTTGTTTGTTTCTGCATCTTTATTTCAGTGGAAAGGGGATGTTCTACCAGCAGATCTTCTGTATGTTATTTTCGTTGCAGCATATCATCAAGTACCACCGTGCTGCCAAGGGCCAACAAGAAATCAGTAATGGTTTCGCGAGGCATGGTGAAGTCGCTGCTGTACCAGATATTGGATGGTATCACTACCTCCATGCAAACTGGGTGCTCCACAGGGATTTGAAGCCAGCCAATATCCTAGTCATGGGAGAGGTCAGTCTTCCGCTAGTCTCGATGGTGAGGGGGGGGGAGGGGTAGTTCATCAATCATGTAATCATTGATGTTAGAATGGTCTAATGATGGTTTCATTTTCAGCGCCGCACGGACTGGTCGTGTTCTAGTTCTGTTGCCGTTTGCAGTCCGGCTTTAGTCCCCCCCCCCCCTCCGCATCTCATTCGGAACGTTGCACTTCAATACTTTGTTCAAATGACTTTCCCTAGTCGCACACGGATTCCAACGCTCGCACCTCCCCATCTGAATGGATACCAGCTCATGCTGGTGTGTGTATTGCTTCTGCCGTCGCTGCGGCCTTGTGGGTCCTACTGTGCTGAGTGTCCGCCATCCGGGCGAGGCGGCCCCGACGAGCCGCCGGCCGGCCTGATCCTCACTGATCCCCCCTGACCTCTGCCTGACCTCCGCCTGACCTCCGCCTGATACCCGCCTGACCTCCCCTGATGCTCGGCTGACCACCTCCCCCTGATACCCGCCTGACCTCCGCCTGATACCCGCCTGACCTCCCCCTGATGCTCGGCTGACCTCCCTGATACCCGCCTGACCTCCGTCTGATCTCCGCCTGATCCCCACCTGATCCCCGCCTGACCTCCGCTTGGTCCCCGCCTCACCTCCGCCTGATCCCCGCCTGATTTCCGCTCGATCCCCGCCTGGTCCCTGCCTGACCTCCGCCTGATTCCCGCCTGACTTCCGCCTGACCTCCGCCTGATCTCTGCCTGATCTGTGCCTGTCGTTCGCTTGACGCCCGCCTGACCTCCGCCTGACCTCTGCTGCAGGGGCCCGAGGGGGCAGGGTGAAGATCGCCGACATGGGTTTCGCGCGCCTCTTCAATTCACCACTGAAGCCGCTGGCCGATCTGGACCCGGTGGTGGTGACCTTCTGGTACCGGGCCCCGGAGCTGCTGCTGGGCGCGCGGCACTACACTAAGGCCATTGGTACGCCCCTCTCCCCAGCCCCCCCCCCCCCCCCCCCCCACTCTATCACCGTCCGGGGGCCGCAGCGACACACATGGCCCGTTTGGACAGACCGTGTCAACCGTCCGGCCTGCCTGGTCCCCAGCCTCTTGCCGGGCACACACTCGCCTGTTTCCCGTGACGTTCGGCCGGTCAGGTGCTGCGGAATTTGTAGTTCTCATGACATGGAAATCAGTGGCTGCATACTTTGTTCGAGCTGTGCTGTTGTTATTAGGAGGGCCACAGACAAAGCGCGTAATCGTTTGCCAGACTGCTGACGTACTGCTGGGCGCTCGCCTTGGCCAAGTTCTCGTGTGCGCGTGTGAGTTTGGTCTTCTGGTGGCATTGCTGAGTCGCCTCCGTGACCCGTCGGCAGATATATGGGCGATAGGCTGTATTTTTGCTGAGCTGCTCACCTCCGAGCCGATCTTCCACTGCCGGCAAGAAGATATCAAAACATCCAACCCCTACCACCACGACCAGTTAGACCGCATCTTCAACGTGATGGGATTTCCGCAAGAGAAGGACTGGGAGGACATTCGGAAGATGCCGGAACACAGCACCTTACTCAAGGACTTTAAGCGGTCCAGGTGGGTGCCGCAGTGGGTCCGCCAGACCTCTGGAGATGGGGAAGGTCGCGCGTCTAGTGCTTAGGGTGGACGCGGTCGATGTTTTACTTGTGTGCTATGCGGGAGTACCGGGATCGTATGACGACTTGCGTGCGGTCCAGAAATGTTTCAAGGACTAGAAATTACTGGGATAGGTGCTAAGCTTCATTTTCCTTACCATAGACGTTCTAACTTGGTAGCCACTGTGTAAAGTCAGTGTGCGGCGAAATAGGAGGCCGTCGGTGACTTTAAGTGGCAGATTTGTTCCCACGCGTCACGCATCAGCAAACGCGTATGATTTGACCCAAAGGCGATTGGAAGTCTATGGTGAGGTTGTGTAGCGGTTTGGTGCGCGCATGATAGTCGCTTTAGATATTTTATAAGTTGGGCCTGAGCAGTTACTCGGGCCGAATTAGGCCATTAGAGGTCAGGCGTACCGAACATCGCTTTGAGTCGATCATGTAAACAGTCGCGTCATCTTGTTGCGGTTCGTTGGGTATATTTCGTTTGTAGGGGGATTTTCTTGTATGCCGTAACACATTTGCCGAGTTTCGGCTGTACCGCGCACGCTGTCCGGGCCGAGTTCCACAGAGTGGTCCGTGTTCGGGACGTTCCGTTTGAGGCCCTTCTTCGGTCTGTACTCTCCCCAATCGTGGTGCTCTGACCGCGTAGCAGCCCCGTCTGTCTCCCGCCTCTTGCGTAGTTTGGTTATCTTTTTCGCATTGAAGGCGTGCTTCGCCTCATTGTCGTCGTCTGATCTGAGAGGTTGTGCCCCCCAGTTACGCTAACTACTCACTGGTCAAGTACATGGAGCGGCACAAGGTGAAGCCCGACAGCAAATCGTTTCATCTGGTAAGCAAGACAAGGAGATCAGCTGCTGTTGTTCGCCTGTGTGATGTAAACAATGCCCACTGTAAACTTAGCTGGAGCGGTGTAGAGGGGGCTTCAAGTTCAGGGGTACCTATTGTCCACTGGATTCTGCCTTCAGTGCAGGTACAGCTCGTCGTGTTGCCCTGCATTTCCTGGCCTCGTTTCTGCTGAGCACGTCCGTGGCGTGTTGGCACTCTTGACATGATTGTTCCTCCAGCTGCAGAAGCTGCTGATCATGGACCCGACCAAGCGTATCACCTCTGAGCAGGCCATGCTGGACGATTACTTCAAGGAGGACCCTCTGCCGACGTCCGAGTACGGTGCTGCCGTTCAGCTCGGGGGAGGGGGGAGCGGTAGCGGGACGGATCGCGTCGGCGCAAGTCAGTGCCGTAGAGCCTGCGGAGACATGTTTTGGTCACGGTCGTCTGTTAAAGGTGTCTCTCACTTTTAGCCGCGTTTGTGTTCGCGCCGGGTTCGGGTGGCTACATCCACTGCAATTATCACAGCGTCCTAGAGATCCAGAGGAAGGGCACGCGTCAATGCGCGTGGCGTGGCTCCTGAGCAACAACATCCTACGGTCATAAACGTGTTGCAGCGTTTTCGAGGGGCACAGCATTCCATACCCGAAGCGCGAGTTCCTCACGGAGGAAGACCAGGAGGACAAGTCCTCCGCCAACAAGGTGAGAAAGGTACTCTGGCGGAAGGTGGCTGGACGCCCTGTGGCGCTCCTGGCTGTAGGGACGGTGGTACGCGCTGTGATGGCGACGGACCTGCTTTTGTCTGGGGGCGCGGCTGATCGTGCGCCGTGTGGGGTGGACGGGCGGGGCTGTGGGCTGGGCGGGCCGGCGGAGGCTGTGGAGCGGACGGGGGGGCTGTGGGCTGGGCGGGCGGCGGCGGAGGTGTGGAGGGGTGCGCGGGGCGGGGCTGGGGCTGGGCGGACGGGCGGGGCTGTGGGCTGGGCGGGCCGGCGGAGGCTGTGGAGCGGACCGGCGGGGCTGTGGGCTGGGCGGGCCGGCGGAGGCTGTGGAGCGGACCGGCGGCCGCTGTGGACCGGGTCAGCTGGCAGGGGCGGTGGTCGCGCATGCTCCGACAGGCCGAGCAGGGGCTGTCTGTTGCCACCC